GGTAAGACGATGTTGGATGCTTGTTTCCAGAGTTACAATTTTAGAGGCCTATGGCGGTTTATGTCAGATTTTAGTTTATGTTTAATGAAATTAATTTACTTATTGATATAGGTGGATGAGCCTTCAAAATATGGTGGTGTTGTTATGGAAGAATCCACTGGGCAAGTGGAAAGATTCGTAGAGAAGCCAAAATTATTTGTGGGAAACAAAATCAATGCCGGCATTTATCTGTTGAACCCTTCTGTTATTGACCGAATTGAATTACGCCCTTCATCAATTGAGAAAGAGGTATTTCCAGACATTGCAGCGGATAAAAAACTCTACGCCATGGTCCTTCCTGGGTTTTGGATGGACATTGGTCAACCAAGGATTATATAACTGGGCTGAGACTCTACTTGGACTCCTTGAAGAAGAAATATAATCCTAAATTGGCCTGTGGACCTCATATAATTGGAAATGTACTAGTGGATGGGAGTGCCAAAATTGGGGAGGGATGCTTGATTGGCCCTCATGTTGCAATAGGCTCTGGTTGCATAGTTGAATCTGGTGTTCGGCTCTCTCGCTGCACATTAATGCGTAGAGTTCACGTCAAGAAATACGCATGCATTTCAACTAGCATTATTGGCTGGCACTCCACAGTTGGCCAGTGGGCTCGTGTGGAGAATATGACAATACTTGGAAAAGATGTTCATGTCCGTGATGAAATTTACAGCAACGGTGGCGTGGTTTTACCTCACAAGGAGATTAAATCAAACATCTTGAATTCAGAGATTGTAATGTGAAGGGCTGTTGTTACCATAACTGATTGATAAGTTTATGCGTTTGGTATCAGCAATTCTCATTTTCGAAGTTGTAAAAGTCGGTCTCTGAATGTAATCTGTGATTGCGTCCGTTAAGGTTTTAAATGCTGTCATCTGTATAAACATATGATCTTAAATAAATTATCAAATGCTCTCTCTGGTAATTTTTTTCTATGTGAGGTTCACTGAATGAGTTATGTGAATGTGACAGGTAATTTTTTCTTCAGAACTGGATTTCTTAGCCTAGAGTGCATTGAGTTTCTTCCTTTATGCATAGGATTTATAAGTCCCTCAGATGGCAAAATCTTGTACAAGGACGAGAATTCAGTGATGGTATATTTGGTAGGATTCGTCGAACTAAAATTTTATTTGTTATATTGTTGAATACAGTGTGTATCAAATATGCATTAATGAAAAATGATATGTTCATCTGGACTTCCTTTTAATTTTCTTTACGGATATTGTAAATCATGCATTTCCATGAGTCAAATTTAATGTTGGAAGTACCTTAAGAATATTGTAATTTATGAAGCTTCTCTACTTAATTCAGACAAAAAAACATTCATAGATCATTGAAAACAGCAGAAAGTACTCACAAAAGTTTTCATTTCACTAATGTATGAATAAACCAAACTTGAAGGTTTAGATCTCATTTACAGATTGTGCTATCGAAGTACAGCCACCACTGTAAATCAGATCATGTTTCACAATGGTCATCCAATCGGGGAAAAACAAAGGGTGGGGGCTTCAAACTCGACAATATGTACATTCAGTTCAAAAAACTACTCGTGTTAACATTCTAAATCTTTCAAATCGAGGCCACAAGCCAAAGCATTACATAAGATGATATGGATAGAAGAAACCAGGAGGCGAAAGCAAATGATATTGAGATGGGGAACATATTGCAAGAGAGTTTGGGATCTGTCTTGCAGATATTTGTGTCTTTACTAAACAAAACCATGACACCAGCTGAGGAGCATGCAGCAGCAAGCGATAAAGTCGCTATTACCTGCGTCATGAATTGCATCTTTTAGTCTCACGAGTTTACATAGCATAGCCATTTCAGTTGAAGTTCACCATCAAAAGAAATTCTCACTGGGCATAGTTAACAACTAAAAGCAACTTGAACCATGTGACATAAATTTATATCTAAACCAGAAACTGTCATTTCTTGTGGATGTGTTATTGGACAAGGAGATTTCTTCATAATTGAAGAAAGAATCAGGAAGTAGCAAATAAATGTTAAGAAATCATACAAATCTTCAGGAATTATCCACAGATTCTACATATAAATCAGGAAAATCTTCAATCACCGAGCATTATAAAAATCGATGACACTATTGATTGCTTCAGGGAAGAGAAACATAAACCGTGAAATTTTGTTTGATGCTTAAACTAGTAACAAGTTCATATTATATTTATATGAGGCATTGTCCTCGGCTATGTAACTTTCAGTAGATATTTTCCAGCCAACACCCTGAAATGGCAACATCGGAACCAAGCAATAGGACTTCACATACTCCTTCCATTCTAAATTGAAGGCTCCTTTTCCGATTTGGAAAGTCCATAAATAATATCATCTCTCAAATATATATTGACTTTCAATAAATGTGACTAACAGATTCATAGACATTAGTTTTGAAGGTAAAGATGAAATCTTACAGCAACTTTCACGCAAAAATTGTTCCATTTCGAGACCACCTAATTCAACTTTAGGGACGAAATAGTAGTGAAAGTCTGAAAATCTTCTAGAAGAGACAACATTAAAGGCAGGACCCGTTCTTGATGCTATATATATTACCTTCTTGAACGTAATGAAAAAATTAAGCCTAATAGAGAATTAAGTACCCAATCACCGACGACGAACAAGCTCACGATGATATGATTATGCAGGTCTTTATGGAACCTCAAAGCATGCATGTCGAGGCAGGCAAGTCCAAAACTCCACAAAACCTGAAGCCCCATTGAAGCAATTAAGTAGCTGGATCAAAGATGCATAACAATTAGCAGAAGCACTATGATGTTAGAGTAAAAAAATTCTTAGTCACAAAAGCAATGGTATTCAAGAAAATGAACACATAGAAGTAAGCAAGAATGTCAAAATTATTGGCGCAAATATTATATCAGCAGCCAAGGCCAAAGATCATCCCATGTGCTGTCATAAGAACAAAATACTTGTGTGAGGCTCCAAAACATGGCAGCCATGGACTATAATTTTCTTTCCAAAAAAAAAAAAAAAATGTCAGTTTTATAGATCAAGTCAATCTGCAGATAATTGTGTTCATTCACCTAGGTTTCATGTAAATGGCAATAAAAAGGGCCAACAAACAGATAAGAGAACAAAGGAAAAGTGAAGATAAATAGTAAAAAGGGGGGCAAAGTTACCAAGCAAACTCCAGCTCACCAGTTAGTCAGAAGTTCTTCAAAACTGACAATCTCCAGAATGCACGACTTGAAAAGGGGAAATTAAAAGGAAAAACAAAAAACAAAACTTTTTCTGAATAATGATGTAAAACTAGGTATTCCACAAAAAACTAATGGGACGCCATATATTATTATGAGGGTGGTATAAGAGAAAATAAAACAGAGCAGGGCCCATAGTAATATAAGAGAAAATAGTTCTCTCTCTCAGACCAACCAATTGAGAAATCATGCAATTTAAGATGTCCAATGTAGCAGAGAAGTGTAGAGATTGAAAACCCCTTGTAATCATGACACCTCAGTATACAATCAAGAATAAACCAAGTACACAAATATAACCAGCGATGGTTTAAGCTGAACAGGAAAGGAAATTCAGAATATCACAAAAATAAGAAAACAATTAGTAAAAGTGGAGGTTTTAGACCATATAAAAAATAAAAAGTACCAAAAAAAAAGCACTTCCACATCAATTCAACCAAAAATGGATCTGGTATTTTCACTTATCATACATCATGATTAGTTGAAATGGATAAACAGGCCAGAAAGATGCCACTCACACTTGTCATATGACTATAGTAAGATCTCTCCTTTAAAATTTCAAGAGATACTTCAGCATAATTAGCACCTTCAATTATTTTCTAGCTAATCACAAAACTTTCGTCTTGATTTATTTAACAAACCTGTGAACCGGTATGACATTAGGAAAAAGCAAACAGTATATACAAGTGTCTTAAATCAAATCAAACCAGCCTTAGTTTATTGAATACTGCTATGTTGGCATGCAAGTGATAGGGCATCTCGACTCGTTTCCCTACTTTTAAGGAGATCTATCAATTAATAACACTTACATGTCATCTAGACAGGTCAGCAACTATGGTGCTAAATAGTATTACTCTAGTTTATAATACTAGAATCAAAGGTGCTGCACAAAGCTGACCAAATGGTAAGAAGGTGAAACCAAATAAAGATGAAAGAATCTAGGACTGAAGTCTATTTGCTATCAACCACGATTTTTTATCACATAATATGCAATTGAATTCATCTCCATTCACATAGCAGTTGTGCAATCCTTCAAAATATTATAGGAAGAACCTATAGCTGAATGCATGAATCAAACTTAATTGATAGGCAATCACAATTGCCCTCTGAAGACTCTAGCTACAGTTCTCATAAGTATTTGGTCCTCAACGATTTTGATTGACCATATCCTCAGTGTTGCGTTGTTCACCTCACCTTTAGTTTGACCAATGGCATGCATTAAATTGTATTGATCAAGCCTATTTTTTCAGGGATTATAAACTACAATGTTTCTCTGGCTAAATCAACCCTTCCATACAGTATTTAGAAATTTGCCAAAAGGAAGATATTTATATTTGCCCAGATCCTTCTCTCAGAATGGGCTTAATTTTTTCCCTTTATTTGGAACTGATCAAAATGCACATGGAACCAACTAATAACCCAAATACGATGAAAAGTGAAACCCCCCGCTATCAAAGACAAAAATAAAAGGAAAAGGCAGAATCGTGAGACCAAAATAGAATACCAAAACGCAGTAACAGTAGAAAAGCCAGAAGCAGAAGTCATCACTCCAATTGAAGCTGTTGAAAACAAGCACTGTCCTATCCGTAATATCAGACCACTCGCTTTCCCTGGACTCCCAAAAGGTTTCTTCATCTCTCCCTATATCAGTGTGTATATTTGGTAAAGATTGAATCTTCAAGAGGTGGGTCTCTTTTCCTGAGGAAGATGGGAGAGTGGGATGATCTCGGATTGTCCCAACATTCTGGTAAGATTCAAATGAAATTTGTTTTGGCTGAATTGAGAATTTTTTTTGTATGATTCCATCCTTATCATAATTAAATTATTCCGATAATACCTTATTTTTTATTTTTCAATATATATTTAATTTAGTTAACAATTTAGTTACCATAAATATACATGTT